TATTAAAAAAAAAAAAAAAACTGTCCAACTGCACACACATCAAATTAGCAATAAAAATTAACTGTTTCTAATCGAACATCCTGCTCATTTCGTTTATCGATAATTCGGTTTATCGATTGATTCATATGTAAATAATTACATTTTAGCTCAACAAAAAAAAATCAAAACTTTGAGAACTCACTTTAAAAAAACAACTACAATAAATTAGTCAGCAATTTTATACCCCCCACCCAACTTCAACTGAACCCCCGCCACGCCCCACGCCCTCTTCTAGCTTAGAACTACTAATTAAGTACTTCTGTCATATATAACTACCACATACATATATACATACATGCCTACATACCTACATGCAAATCGATAACACATTGTCCATCTGTAGAGCCGATAACCGATAGCCGAGAGGATTACGAGATATCCCAAAACTGGCGCTTTTCACTCATTTGCCCTATCACATTGGACCTGGATCTGGTTGTCAATACGAATAATAATATGCATGCGTGTGGTATTATTCAACACTTATCGTTATCGATATGTTATCAAAAACGGGGCCGTTATTATCAAATCACTCCCCTTCCCACCCTCTTTCTCTCTATCTCTCTCTCTCTCTCTCTCTCTCTCTCTCTCTCTCTTTATAATATAAATTAATTTCTTGGCTCTACCCTTAACTCTTTCTTATGATTATATATATGCGTCTCGCTCTTGCTTGCTCGCTCTCTCTCTTTTTCTCTCTCTGTATCTCTCTCTCTGCCTTTCGCTTTCAGTGCCTCTCTCCTTCTTTCTCTTTTACATGCATATTGATCATGTCGTAGTCTTTGAAATTGAAATTGTGATACAAAATAAAAATACCTTAAAAAAGTAAAACAACAAAATACTAAACAATTTAATACTAAAAACTCTAAGCTCTAAAAAAAACCTTTATTCTACTAGACTCTTTTGTTACGTATGTGTGTACCCAAAATACTAAAAACAAACAAAGCTCTAACTGTTGTATTACATATAGACAACTTTGAGAACGTATTCTAATTTCGATTTACATATAAATATATATGTATATACATATATATACATATATATGCATATATATATTTCCAACTTCCGACAGTAAACCACATCTAAAACATTGC